ACAACCGTGATTGCGATTTTTTTATCTTGAGTGAATTTGCTCACTGCGATCGTAAGTCCTTGATCTTTAAACAGAAAAACGTATTCAATATGATTTTACGATGAATTACATTACTATTCGTGTTTGTAAAAATTAGTAGAAAAAACAAGATATTCTAAAAGAATGATTTGTTAAGTAACATATAGATTATAATTTATAATAATTAATTTATTCATTATTCTTCATTGTTTCTAATTATTCCTTCATTTTATACGATGTAACTCGAATTTTTGTTTTGATGTCGTTAATATAAAATATACAGATTATGTGTCGCGTGTAAAGAACTGTTAGGTTTCTCCACCAATCAGAAACGATCACGAGAAATCACGAATCACTGTGAAAAATCCGTGATTGGGAACGAACGTGATCGATCACGAGTGATTCACAAGTAACAGTTCATGCCATTTCTACAAGAGAACCCATGTGTGTGAAAAAGTGGGGTCATAGCACCCCAGGAGCATGCGCCAGAGACCGTGTGGTGAAGCGTGGGGTCACAGAACCCCCAGAGCATGCGCAAGAATTTTGAAATGTGATCCTTTATCGTTGCTGCTCGTACGAGTCTCGAGCTTGGTCTAATGTTGCTCGTGCAATTGTCGAAATCTGACTGACACTTGTGCGTGCTTCCGTGAACAAATTATATAGTAACCCCAGCAACCATGGCAGTTTCTGCAGATACTACTACAGCCCAAGTTTAAAAGATGTAGGCAGTAGTTAGTTTCTGTAGTAACCTGTTGAACCAGACAACTATACTTAGTATAGGATTGTATAATATTTATGCAGTTATATTTAAGACAATTCGATGAAATGAAGCTTATATTACCTGACGTATGTTTATTGGAATATACATATATACATATAAATTGTAATGATATAAAAGTTTGAAATACAATACGATGCGCTACGTACAATACGTCTATTCGATTCAATTGGTCCCTTGCGACAGTTGCGACTACAACATCATGCTATCCGCGTTCGGCGCAGTGCACTAATACGGAGGCCAACGAAATATCACTGTAACACTTAAAAAAGTGTTAAAGTTCCATTTATATCATTGTCCTGTGAAAATGTTCATACTTCCAGCAGCATTCATATTCCAATCAAAGAATTTACAGAATAAGGAAAAGGAATCTAAAGTAATTTTCAGTAGTTCTATACATCTTTATCTGCGTCAAATTGACGCGTGAACGAAATCGCATATTTTCCTTAAAAAAACAACTTATTTTATTTAAAAACAACGTAATTATACACTATTAACTTATAAATGAACGTAACGTGAACGTTATGAATGCAACGTGGTGGGAGAGAGAATTTATATGCGTGAAAGTATCTACGTGGGGAAGACTTCCCCGGGAAGTACAATCTCGCGTGACCATATGCTTAGTGGCAATATCGTTAAAGTCCATTGTATCTCCGCTGCATTGTTTGTATTTACTTTTGACATTTATTTTCTATGAACTTTTTGATTACGTTCATATTTATTGCTGATAGGTATACCACTTAGAGAATTCCGAGATTAAAAGGCTTAGAAGAAAATGAATTGGGATATATATTTGTCTCGTTAAAACAATAAAAGTCAGCATAAATGATAGGAGAGAAATGTAAACGGTTTCGATCATTTTCCTTGTAAAATTCACAATGCGTCAAAATGACGCGTCCCGTAAACCTAGTGTTAATAAAATGTCCATTAACGATGCATTTAGAATAAATTGTCTTGTAGTTAAGTGAAAAAATATATACTTTTCTGTTTCATGTTTCATGTCTGTCATATTTATCCCTTAACCTTAAACTGAAGCATCGGATATTTTTATTCCCGTCAAATCATATAGATACACGCAATATGAATGGAATATATAAACTTCATTTGTGCTAATAATACTCAGAATTCATGCTTTATCGGTAACGTCGGGTATTGACACTAAAATGGTAAGGGGGTTTCTGAGGACCTCGAAGCATGGGACAGAAAATTACATTGCATGTTAGGTCTATTCTTATATCTCGTCTGTGCTTATACATACCTCGTCTGACCAGGCTCGTCAGTGTTGATACTGAAATGGTAAGGGGGCTTTGGAATTGTTGGAGCCCTTGAAGCATGTGACAGAAAATTACATTGCATGCTAGGTCTATTCTATATCTCGTTTATGGTAGCGTGCAGTAGCGTTCAATTGCCAGCAATTGCGTGCACTACTTTGACCCGTCGTCGGTATACGCACTTGCGCAGGTGGTACGCCGTGTACGCGCAACTCGCAACTCGCAAGTGCGTCAGTGTTGATCAGTGTGAACGTCTTATCCAGTGATGGAACTGAAAGAAAGCAGTGAGTGATTAATAGTGTTGGTTTATATTTTTACGAAATTATTTCAGATTTCGGTATCAGTTATTCTGGGTATCCACTTAGTATGAAGTCGCGACTTATGTGTAGATATTATTAAACGATTCAGTATGTATGACAACATGGACAGCACAGTTTAAAATTATTTCCGCTGAATTTTAGATTTATTCCTATCAATCATAACCTAAAATTTATTCAGCGTACGTAATGCACGTATGATTAGGAAGTGGATTACTATGTGACAGAAGCATTACAGTTATTTGGTTCATTCCTTTTAGACTAAGAAGAGAAGATTCAAAGGGTCCGAATCGTTAAGGTGTTGACGTTATGAGAGAAATAATATTTAATAAGGTTCTATATACTTCATTCTCATGGCTAAAGGAAAATTAAGGGGTTCAGATTCCAATAACAAGGTACATCCATGAAATAGCAATCTGTCACAAAAATAATGTCTAAACTAATGCACTTCCTATAATACACAGTTATCAGCTGCTAATGCAACTTTTAAAAACGGGGAAACATATACGTCAGAGTTTGAAATTAACGAAATACCACCTAGTGCCCGCACATTGCTTACAAAGGGTTATATACAAGATGAGATCAATTCCTATTCAGGTAAATAGTTACATTTTATAACTTTATACCATGTTCGTCGGTAATTTGGTATTTGTTGTATTATTATATTGAATAACTTTCAGGTGCCACTGTGTCAACACGTGGGCGTTTTATGACAGAGCAGGAAAAATTAAGATGTCCCAATGAACGTCCTCTGTATTTATATATACAGGGACATACAAAACATAACGTAGACTGTATGCTATTATCTTTAATTTTATCCTTTTGAAAGTTAGAAAAGTTAGTGACAGAGGCTCTTTAGTATTACTTTTGTTTTTCTTTTTTAGTGGCCATACAGAAGATCAATGAGATCATTAAAACAGAACATCAGAGTTCATTAAATAGGCCCAGTAGATTTACTAATGCACCACCACCACTTATGAGTTTACATTCTGGAGTTACATCTGTGGTACATAATGCATTTTGTAGTAACTATATATTGCATATCTTTTTCTACATTTTATATCTTTATGCACTAATATATGCATATAATTTTGACAGGAAAAGATTTGTGTTGGAATAGAAAATGCTCCAGAAGGGTTTGATTTACGAGGTCGAATTATAGGTGCAGGTGGGTCAAATTTGTTGTATATAAGAGGAGAAACTGGTGCAAATGTAACATTAAGGGGTAGAGGATCACAGTTCGTCGATCCAGTTTTAGGAACTGAATCTCCAGAGCCGCTTCATTTGTACATAGAGTAAGATCATTGGTACTACTTTTTCCTAACGGTACTTTGATTTTGGAATTGCAGAACATGTTATATGTTTTGTTTATATAGGCATCCCAAACCGGAAGCATTACAAAATGCAAAACAGTTAGCAATTAATTTAATTCAAACAATGCAGTCTGAATTACAGTCTTACATACAGCAACAACCACCACCAGTACAATCACAGCAAGTTATAGAACAATCGCAAATACAACAAAGTATGAATTCTATCCGTTTTTTTAATAAGCGTTGTGTATGTTTATACAGTATTACTATTGCTATTTTTATTTTTATAGCACAATTTCAAACCATGAACATTGGTACTTTGGGACAACCTAATGTTGTTACTATACAACATCAAGGTAGAGCACATACACTAATAGTTCATGGCTTTTAGAAATTTTATCTGTAACTGTTGCAAAAACCATTCTTACTTAACAGATATTATACAACACCCACAAAGTAACATAGTAACATTGCCAGCAACAATTCTCACTGCTACAGTAACTGGCGCACCAGGGTCTGGTATAACAGTTCCTCCACCTGGAGTACACATTCCTCCTCATTCTGGACCATTAGTACCATCGCCACAAGCTCAAGTAAGCTTGAGAGTAGTTATTGAAGTTATAATTAAATTTCTTGTAATCTAATAACTTATTTTATATGTAGGAAATACAAACATTCATGCCCCCTCCACCAGTTGGACAAGTGCAATTAATTGGTCCTCCATCGACAGTAAGTCAAGTGCAATATCAAATTCATTCTGGACAACCATTGCAAATCCAAGGGATTCAACCTGGATCACAGTCATCGCCACAACCTGTGGCTCAAATGTATGTGATGAGTCAGCCTCCCCCACAGAGTCCAGCTCAACAGAATTTTATAACGAGTAGTAGTGCAGCCGTTAGCGGGGCAGTTTCTTATGTGTACACACAACCGAATATGCAAAGGTCTTCTACACCACCACAAGGAATCATTGAAACTGTAAATGTGAATTTACAACAACCACCGCCAGCCGCACCGATTAATATAACCCAACAACCACCTCCGCCGTTATTACATCTTCATTTTCCACCGCCGAACTTTCCTCCAAATCAACCACCGCCTCCTGTACCGCAAACTTATCAAATACAGTACCAACAAGTGCAAACGCCAGTATCGCAATCACAGACGCAGTTTGTATTACAACATGGTGAACATATTGTTTCACCACAGTTGCAACAAAATCATGAACAGTCGCAGGCAGTGGCTCAACACATGTTACCTCCACAGTTCGAAGGTCATACTCCTCAGTTTCACCTACAAGTACCTCCTCCATCAACACAGACCTTCTTAGTCCCCAATGCCCAATCACCACAGCACCCACAGCAACATCCCGGAGGTGAAGTTCAGCATCAACAAGAGGGGCCAGTGGATCAAGGACCTCAGCCACAGCCAGTTCCACCCCCTCAAATTGTACCACCACCATCAGCTACTCAGATGCCAAATTCTATGAATGTTCTTACTAGTATTCCCCCGCCAACGCAAGCGCCACCTCCACAAAATGCCCCGTGGTTGTATCCAGCACAACAACCGCAACAGATGTTGCAGTCTCAAGGCCAATTACAGGTGATTTCATGTTCATCTACATTAACCCTCGGACCGCGGTGTTTAGACCCATTTTGACTCAGGGTTTTAGAAATCACTTCACTATTCGAAGCGCAGAGCTGTTTAGATTAGCATTTTATAAGAAGTACATCATATTTTGAGGAAATTTGTTTTAAAACACATATAAAGACAGACGAATGGGGGGTCTATACAGATCCAAGTACCACCGTCTACTCGATCATCAAAAACGTTCGCCTTCCGAGGGTTGATCAATAGGCACATTTGCATTAATAAAAACAAGTGTGTTAATTTTACAGGTTCAAATGCCACCAGGAAATATTCCAATGCACAATGTACCACCACCACAAGTTCAAGCACAGATACAGTATCATGCTCAACATATGCAATATCAGAATGGTCATATGCCACCGCAAATACACTATACAATGCAACCACCGCCTCAGCAGTTTGATCAAAAGCCTGATTCACCGGAACAGAAATCTCATGGTGTAAAAAGAAGGTTTTCAGATGTTGAAGCAAACCCGGTAGGTTTCCAGAGTTGAAGATTTACAAAATGTATATGTAGTTGTGCAAAATATTGAAAATTTATTTATGTTATTATGTTGTTATATATTTGTCCTATAAATAACAGGAGGCACCACCATATCAGTGTGGTCCACTACCTGCTCAGCGACATGGAACAGGGTAAGTAATTTGATTAATACGTTAATTTAGTTTTATATTTAATGAAATTATGACGTTTGTGTGTGAGAAACAATATTCTTGCGATATTGCAAGAATGTGAAACATTTGTTACGTGAATAAAGCAGGTCTAAAGAATTTTAATTAGTCAATAAATATATATTGAAAAATTAAAACTACAATTATATAATAAATACGCTTGTCTCTTTAAGTTAATATTGATGTAATATTTTGAGAAATTCAAAGGTGAAAATAGTTTATAATACTAAAATTCTAACGAATATATTTTTTATTTCTTTGCTGCTTTCAACCATTAGATCCATTAGTATATATTGTACCATTGCTGTCTCCGGTAATTTTTAAAAGCTTCTTTATAAATAACTGCTCAGATGTAAAAATTGTAACTCAAATGCAGTTCATTTATTATGTACACACTATAACGTGCTAGAACATACATATTGGAATACATTAAATTTCTTTCAGAAACCTGCTTTGAACAAGATCTACGAAAATCATTATATAGGAAGGAAACACATTCAAATTGTTAAAGATATAGTGATAAATAGATTTTTTTTCTTATTAATAAAACTGTTAGCATAAAAAGTAAAAACATTTCATACTATATGATAAGAAACGTTAACCTATTATTGCCAAGCAATAACTTGGTAATAAGAACTCCATGTACTCACAATCAACCTATTTTGAAGCAACTTTACCTAAGTTTTTACTTATAATAAATATTGAAGTCATAATGAAGGTATATCTAGATTATCACAGTGTTTGAAGTAAGTGATTGTGAATACAACAAATTTATCCACAGAATATTATGTCGGACAAAGAACGACGTTTATATTGTGTTTTGACAACAAATTTGTTGCAAATATAACTCGAAGAATGCTTCCAAATTTATGTTATCGATAGTGCAATTAGTAGAAGTTTGTATATAGAATACATACTTTTGTAATTAGTTGTAAGGTCTAAGCTAAAGTGATAAAATAGAAAAGATATTGTCTGTAGATTTTACTGTTTTACAGATTAAATATAAGACAATTGGATATCCTTTTAATAATAATATTCTGTGTTATTAAGTTACAAGTACAAATGAATACATATTGCATAAAATTTGTAACATTAACTGTAGCCTGAGGATATCAGGTACTTTTAAGATTTCAGAAGTATCCATGGCAGCTCGTCAGGTGATATTTGCTTAAGTTTTGAAATGTTTATCTGTAATAATCGAATTTGTGTTAATAATTTGAAACTGAATTGTTTAAGCAGAGAAGGTGATCGGCAGCAGCAAGTCTTACATGGTCCATCACCAGCAGCTGCGGGTCTACCACATGGAGATCGAAACAAGCTGCTAATGCCACCTCCACATCCAGGTCTGTAACTAAGAGTATTCAAGATGAAAGAATGCTGGATACCTTTTGAAAATTAATGCATGAAATGAAATGAAATGTATTGGATTTATTATTATTAATAAATCTAAACTAGTTAAAAGATTATCCAGACCTAATCACAGTATAATAGGTTTTAATAATTTTGATATCTATGACCCAAAAAAATATTACTATTATTTCAGATGGGTATCTAGCATTGTTTCTCAATACTCTTAGCTTGTAGTATATTATATACTGTAAATATATATTTTTATTAAACAGTATGCATTTCTTCTTATACATATATATACATATATATACATATATATACATATATTACCAATCTGTTTTTTTTTGTCATGGATTCATTCAAACACTTTACAGATGGGCGTCAGGAATATCATCTGCAAGGTTCATGAAGCTACAGTATAAATTGCTTGCCATTTACCTTTATTTCTTATTATTTAGAATTAACGAACCTTTCGCTACATTATATTACATAATTATGATAATTAACTTGAACATCTTAATTTTAATGCTTTTTCATCATATGTTTTTTCATTAAAATGTATGTATTTTCAGATCTCTATACAACAAAGTGTTCTTACATTTCAGTGATTGCTTTCAACCAGTCTTAACTATAATTATTATCGTTCGTGTTTTGTTAAAATATTTGTTTTAATATGAGTATTTTAAGTTTAACGAATTAAAGTGTTAAGGTCGTGTAGTCCGCGGATCAGACGACTGAAGCCAAGCATTTAAAAACATGGAGTAGCAGTACAAATTTTTCATATCAGTGTTAATGATTCATACATTTATGAATTATTTTATGTAGTGTTTTCTGTGTGCAAAGAGAATTTACAGAATTATGTTGGATCTTGCTGACAAGCCGTATACCATTGGTACTATTATATATTTTTATTCAACAGAGGATTTATTGATGACTTCAAAGATGATTTTAACCAGAAACCAGTATTTTCTGAAACGAAAGCATATTTTTAAATATGGGTTTTATTTTACAGGTTACAGATTAGCTTAACAGTGCTAAATAAGTAGGCTAAACGTGATATGCTATTGGTGACACAGCCGATTCTATGAAGCCAATTGCTATCTGTTTTCAGCTGCATATAGCGATTATAACAATTACTTTTTTTTTTAGTTAGAAATGGTCAATGGCGTGAAATATTGTTGTTTTGTTATGTAAACTCTTATAACTTTATGGAGTAAAATAACTGAAATCTTAATTCGGAAAGTTTAAACCGTTTTCATTGCACAGTGACCGCTTGAGCTGAAAAATAAAAGGCAGTAGCAGTTTATTATTCACTTAAATATACATAAGTAACACATTAATCGGTCTTTAAAAAAAAGTTGTTTCTGCAGTACTGTAGTCTTAGCATCATGTTACTATTATTCACAATATTTCATAACGTTATTCGCCATATTTAAACAATGCATTCTATATATAGTTTTTCTACACCTCTCTATACAATTCTTTTCATTTCATGAATTTGCATTATCTAGGTGAAAAACGGAGTTTGGACCAAAAACCTTCAGGCATAAGTTCAGGTATACTTAATATTTGTTCCAGTATACTTTCTTGAATTTTCTATACGCCGAAAAACAGATTTTGTTACGTATTTATGTTTTCCTGATAGGAAATGAGCAGAATCTGATAGGGGATTCTGTAAACATTCACCCTGGAGGTGGCCTGCCTCTTCCTCCACCACTTCCACCACAGGCGCCATGGCAGACTCATCATGTCAGAGCTCCATGGGGTAGACCACCACCAATGCCAAGAGATGGAGAGCATCAAGGAATGTGTCCTACTCTACCTCCAATTAATATGCCTCCACCTCAAATTAGACCAAGAGGTATTCATAAAATACGATGACAATACTTGACATTGTTAATTTGTCATAAATAATTCAAATAGTTACATAATAAATATTTAAAAGAGTTTGTATAGTTACAGAGTCCTAAAAGTTTTAATGCTTTACCAAATGATATCCAATTCAAGTCTATGTAACATAGATTATTCCAGCTAACCTAGATTTTACCTAACAAAGGACAAGTATAGAGAGAAATACTTGATGTGTGAACATGACCTTAACATCATAGAAATCAATTTTTCAAAGAAACTTTTAATTTTTCTTTAATTAGTGTGCACCATTAAGGGGGGGGGGTATATTTTTCTTTTGACATTTCTCATAATGCGAAACTGAATTTATGTATTCATCTTTTAGGTTTCATGTGCAAACTGAATGGATGAAGTGATGATCAAATGTTCTTGTGATTATTTAGGACCCGTTGAAGGTAACCGTTCGCCCGTGCAAAACGCGATACTGGAGCACCCGTTGAACCTCGAGTATAATCAAATGCCACCATACACGACAAAACCTCCCCCTTACAATTCACATCCATTGATGCAATCCATTTGTAATCCACCGCCACCCCCGCCTCCACATCATCAACATCGACCGCAGCATCCTCCTCAGACGATGCAACATTACCAGGTGCCAATTTCTCAAGCATATCAGCCACAGACTTCCTGTCCACCATGGATGAACTGAAAAAGAAAAACATTCAGTGGACACGATATACACGTGAATAAAGTTTTTACGCTAGTACCTTACAAAGATGACTGATGCGGTCCGTCCGATTACCACCGATCAGTTTCCGCTGCGGGCGCTATCGATTACGGAGGCCACGATATTGGGGGAACAACCACGTTAAACGGACGGGGCGTTGCATTACGTTGTCTTCATTCGATTGTTCCTTGCGATAGTTAATTATAATTTAATTATTCGTTGCGTCGAACGTGTTGCAGCAGGGTATGCTGTTCTGTGAATACAAACGCTGTGTACATGTTACGAAAATTATTTATAGCGAACAACTGTAAGCCTTGAGGTAGCGAGACGCTAGTAAGAAATTTATAAATACCGTGTTGACGAGCGGGAATAGTAACTCGATCATCTGATATATAATTACGTACAACAATGGATCGCGTTTATTTGCGATTCGAAATGAAAGACTAACTCTACTAATTGTCGGTGCGATGCGGGTGCATGTTGTTAGAATGGAGTTTACTGGAATTAGTTCCGAGAGATAAAATGCTTTTAGTATTCACGCACGCAGGACACACCACGATGACCTAGCGTGGGATGTACTTTTTGTATTCTCGTAGAACGTAATATAGTTGCTCTCGAACTTACCGTACGCCGTCTGTTTCCTTTCGTTCTCGGTATGTTGTACCGTATGATCTGTTCATAGACAATATACACACATACACCCAGGACACGGTGTATGCGATTTTGTATGCAGACGTGAATAAATCGTTGCTGACGACCCTACGAAGCGTTATCAAAATTTTCGGGGTCCCTTCCGATGTGAAGTTCAACGTGATCCTACGCGCCGGTTGCTCTGTGAGCAACTCAAGACGAGTGTAACCAATTAACCGCTGTTATAGTACAATGCCTCTGATTTTACGATTAAGCGAACAGTGGCTGGCAACTTTAATACACCGAATCTCAGTGTAGTATGATATTTTAGGGTTACATGACATGCGTCAAGCTCGGATCCATTGAATTTCGACTGATGTACGAAATCATTTACGTTGGCTTAAGACATCGTTTTTTATGATTTAGTTATAGAAATATATTTTCCGATGAAATATAATTTTTCGAATAATTTAATTTCATTGTAACAAAAGAACTTCAGGTGTTCTTCTTTCAAACATATTAAAACCTTACATCGTAGGATTTCCGACTAAACATTTTTAAGTGTAAGTATAAAAAATTCTGATTAGTTTTGCAATGCAAAAATTGCACATTTGAAAAGCTATCCCGTTATTATCATTGTAAATTTAATTTTTCCTTTTCAATCTATTATTCCAATTACGCCGTAGTGTTAGGGAAAAGTTTAATTAATTTATGATTTTAGACACGCAAATCCAAGAAATATGAGGTTATAGTTATATACATCCAAATGATTTCAGTATCAATTAAAATTTCGCTAAATAGAAATTCATTTATCGGCCATACAATTAAAAATATATTAATAATATTAAGTTTCTTTGGAATTGAAAAATGAATAGACTGCTTAACTTTCGTTTATAATATTTCCTATTTGTACCGAAATATTCCAGACATTAATTTATAATCGTTCGTTTGAAGACAAATTTAATACGATCTACAGTTGACAAGAATGATTTAAATTACTGGTTAACTAACAAGTATTCTTTAATGTCGATTAATTTTGTTTATTAACATTGCAGTTTCATATTACGGTACTACGGGCAGTTATTAACGACTACAATTTAGCAAATTCACCAGTTTTCTGGTATCGATCAAAGTTAAAGGGCATCATTAAAACGACTCTGTTCTCGCTACCAATCGGCCATCGTTCTAATTAAAGCCGTTAAACGTACTCGGTACGTACGGTGATCGAATATTGGCCAAGGTTTTCGTGCCACATGAAATTCTGTTTAATACAAATTCGATGAAGTCGTACGCTCCTGGAATTGTCTGTCGTTATATGGGGTGAACGGGCGCGCGGTTAAGGACGCAATGGAATGGAGTGCCATAAAACGGGGATCGTTACATCGTGTAATTAAAAGAGGACGGCAAGATTTTTCTGTGCAGCAGTATAACATTTCGAGAAGCATATTTCGAACTGAACGTAAATTAATCGTGAAATTTCTAATTCGATCCTTTTTTAAATCATACCTACACTGTACATTTTCTTGTAAGTAATTTGATAAATTATTCCTTTTACATTCTAGCTATTCACCATGTTTTTGATCTATTGTGATCCAACATTTTTCGTTGATTTTTAGTAGAATATTGAAATCGATTAAAACCGCATTCGACATTTCCCGACTCAATTATCGGGGGGAAGCGGCTCACTTCATCGTTCATTCGCTCATTCATCATTGAAATCATAATTATAATCAAATGTCTCGAATCAACGAACGAAACACGGTAAAATCAAGGGAATGATCCGAACGATATCCAGCGATGTCTCAGGTTTGTCCGTCCTCGTCGCATCAGCTGGTCGCGGCCGCCATTGCTTTTCGACGCGCTCGTCGTAAGTTCCCCAAGAATTATGGTCTTTGTGGTAATTTCGATGACTCTATGAAAGTCGACAAGGTATGTAGCTATCCTCTGAAATACAATAAATATAATTATAAATATCGTACAAGTCAACGTACGTGTATATCTTGTACGAGATTTATTCATAAATTGTATGTGTGTAGTGAATGAAGTTCAGACTTCAGACACGTTATAATAAGATAAAATTCAATATTTGAATCGCTAATTTTAACAAATAAGTACAATTTTTATTTTCTTATTTGCGATTTGATTCTTATATGTATTTCAATACACAATTTTTCCTATTTTCTAATAACGATCGTAAAAGAAACATCTCCATCACTCATAATGTATGTAGAAATAAAGGTACACTCGTCGTGTTTCTTTTTCAAACGATAAACGAATCCGTGGTACGATAGAATTGAAGTAAATAATGGATGGTACGTAAGTATCGAGATGTTTATAAATCTTTTCTTTTTCCACGATGAATCGAATCAGACGGAGAGTGTGACGGGGAACGAGGACTCGCACGAGCAAGAAAACCTACCGTTCTCCACGAGAAAATGCTCGAATTCGAGATCGAGCCGGGCGGAGGCCAAGGCGGCATGGAGCGATGAGATCGGGGAAAGTGGCTCGATCAAGGAAAACTTACTTCAGAAACCAATAATCTGCAGTTGCTGTCGTAAACGCAACGAGGCTGCAAAAGCTAACGAACCGGCGAACGTTTTCAAGACAACGGATCAGTGCAGCGCTGGGGATGCGCTTGATATCGTTCCAAGCAAAGAGTACAATGGGATCGGGAAGAAAGGCGATCCTTCTAGGACGGAGCAGGTAGAAAAGTACGATATTTTTCTTTGATATTTCACTGCAGAGAATACTGCATCCGGCTTTGTTCGTCGCTAATGTAAATTGATTTCATGGAAATTTTTATGTGAACAGCATTCAACTATTGGCGAAGAATACGACGGTAATGTCTTTTTTACTGAACAATAGCCATTCATACTAAATAGACTGTGGATTTTTCGGAAAATTTATATTTTTAGAAATTAATTTGTATGGAAGATAACTGAGGAAATTTAGAAGTTTATCAATGTTATGTCTGTATTTTACATAACAGTGCTTCCTATGTGCTTTGTTTAAGAGGGTGTTTTATAAACAATCTGCAGTTTAACCATGGGTGTTTTTTTGTCAGAGCATCAGAAATGCCTGAAAAATCGTGATGACATGTGAATAACGAATAATAATTGAAAACTAGCTGTTCAGGCTTTTCAAACAAATACAGTAATCCATAATTCTTGAATCAATGAATTTTATTACATTTAATCAGACGAGAAGAATATGTGATTATTTTCTTCTTGAAACAATTTTAAATATTTAGCAAATTAGTGAATATAATAAATTAACCATTCGGATTTTCGGCTTATAAAGAAAAAAAGCATTGTCATTTTTATTATTCTTGATTAATAAACTTTTATTTACTATTTGTCTATTAATAAACAAAAATGAATGCAATTATTCTAATTAAATGCTTTTTTTAACTACAATTTTTAATATATCTCATTACTTTCATCGTTTTCGAATGTGATACATGTTTAGAAAGCAATATACAGGGTGTTTCGTTTAACTGGAAACGGTGGAATATTTCACGAAGGATTAAAGTTATCAAAAAAATGTTCGTACAAAAGTTGTTTGGTACAAAGGGGGACATTACGTGGTATAAATAATTTTTCTGTAAGTGTAGTAGTGGGAGAGATATCAAAGTCAAGTTAATATTTTTAAATGGAACCCTGTATTTTTGTATTCATATTATGATAGTGTTTGTTGAGACGAATACAATGAACTGCTTTGATAACTTTAATCCTTCGTGACATATTCCATCGTTTCCACTTGAACGAAACACCCTGTATATTCGTTAAACATCGATATGAGGAATTTGATTTTTTGGCAAATGAACAGATAACTCTTCGATCTGGCCCATTGTGCGATGCTCGTAGCAACGACGAAAACATTTGTACCGTGTCTGATTTTATATCCAGCTCTGACGTAAGAATGATGAAAAGCTTCATAACGGATCCCGGAAATTCTAGCCGTTGCCGTGCTCCGTATTCCCATTCAGGAAGACGAAGTCCGAAAGAAACTTCGGCCAAATTGGATTCCGTTAATCTTGCACACGACGATGCCATCGATCAATTAGGCAACGTTAAAGGCGGCAGCCCGTCCGAGAAACGGAGTAAGTTGAAATTAGTGATGGGCATCATCGAGTAAAAACTATCGACTAAGTCGATAGTAACCAACGACTACTTTCAGTCGACTAATTTTTTCAATCGTCGACTACTTTAGTCGCTTCAAGCGACTAACTTCAGGCGAATAATATTAGTCACTTCAAGCGACTACTTTCAGGCGACTAACATTAGTCGTTTGAAGCAATTACTTTCAGGCGACTAATATTAGTCGCTTGAAGCGACTACTTTAGTCGATTAAATTTAGTCGCTTCAAGTAACTCGCTCGAACTATCGAGCTATTGATCGCTATTGACTGGATCTTGATTATTTTCTTCGCGATGCAAACCAATTGCAATTTTTTCATATATTTTTTTATGTATTACCAAGAACTGTGCAAATTATTGCTTATAACCTAATATATTTACATAAAAAATTTAGAGCAGTTAATTTTTTAAGTGCCAATATTAAATAGCTTACAAAGAATCGAATATTAGTAATTCTTTAAAAAAACTTGTTTACCACTTATATTTTTGAAATTCTATCTATGAACGGATACATTTCTAAAAGGTAATACACCAATGGTGCTGAAAAGTTGACGACATAATCTATACATAACCTATAAAGCAAAATTTCAGTCGACTAAAAACTATCGACTAAGTAGTCGATAGTATGTTGCGACTAAATAGTCATTAGTCGATAGTTTAATTTAGTCGATGGTGCCCATCACTAGTTGAAATTCTTCGCGTGCCTGAAGTATCACGAACAACGGCGTCCCGCAATGGATCGCGATAATTTCGTCTACGTTTAGGGTGCAACGCGGAGGAATACGGCTGCACGGGAACGGGTTGTAGGTCGCAACCGCGGAACTCGCGATCGAAGTTGGAGTTCTTTGGAACGGAAAAGGACAACTCGTCCGCCAGTATTCATCGTGATTGCGAAACACGTTGCTCGAAACACTCCAACGTCGATCTGTTACGACCGCGTCGAGACGTTTGTCATTCACAGAATAGCCAACGGTGCTGCCATCATCACAATTGCTGTCACCATTGTTGCGGCGAGGAATGTCACAGGTCACTGAATCCACCTTTTTGTCAGCTGCGAAGTAACAGTAAACAAAAATACATGGTACTATTTAAAAAGTGTAAGATCGATTACTCTAATAACATAAAATAGGTGAAATTTCTACGAGCTATATCTGGATCCACGTTTAAAAAAAATGACATCTTACATGTTTTCTGTATCAAATATTACACTCTTTCCGATGAAGTCTAAAAATCATACTAAGTTCATATTTTTAAAACAATGTAAAGTCCATTGCGTAGTTAAATTAATCCAAAGTTCACCACTTCTACATATAGAGGGAAAAGAACTACTAATTAATAACTCGAAAACGAAGCCTCGAACGCAATTTCGTCATTCCCGATTTTCGTCTCAGCTTTGCACGTAGAATCCACCCTACGAAATTGCCCATATTATTATTCACCCTGTATAATGTAAAAGTACTAAAATCCGTATTTCAAGAATACCGTGCTGTTGTCCCCTGTTTCAAATAAATTAAAATTTCCTTTTCAGTCGCTCGTCGAAAGAAAAGCCACGTCTCGCCTCCGACACGTGTCTCTGTTCGACGAGCTCTATTGGTCCGCGGGCGTGCTGTAACAAAGGTCACGTGGCGCGCGAGTCGTTCTGCCACCGCGATTGTCATCCGCAAGATTCGGAGAGGATATCGACCGTTCAGGAGCAAAACGACGGTGAATACGACGACTGCGTGGGCACGATAAACCACAAGGACTCGTTGTGCATCCTGGTGGAGAAGTACAAGACCAGCAAGAAGTGCAAACACAAGAAGTATCCAGGGGAGTGCCAATTACAAGATGATCGGGCAAAGGACGACTCCAATAAGTCGTACACGTCCGAGACCACCTGTCAAATGGACGACAACGCGAATCGAAAACAGGGGGACAGATGTTCGGACAACGAGGATCATCGGTTTCGAGTGAATCGCCCATCATTGGGAAAATCGTGCAGAATCAGAGAGGGGGACTGCAATCAATTAAAAAATTTGAGATCCCGTTTGGTGAAGACCGGTACATGTTGCTCGGCGAAAGGCACACCGTGGAGACACACATTTTAGATCTAACTAAATCTCGAGTATTTTTTCACGTTGTACTTGTAGCTCTGCTTCTGCTCTACTACTTTTTGTTCCGTTGAGAAATTTTCTGAGAACACGTTTCACGGTTTTTATCGAAAGTTATAAAGGAAATTCGAATTTGATATTGATGGTGAAATATGAAATGCTTTACAAGAGGCACAAGTTCCGAGACGTTTGTTGTGAATCGTGGTTTTTCATTTTTTTCTTTTTTTTTTTTTTTAGATTTTTATACCTCAGTGTAATACCGGGGTCACTTATTTCACGTATTATACACGTATTTTAATTCGATTTCGTTTTCGTATAATTCTGTACACTAGCAGACCGTATTCGTTAATAAACTTTGAACTTTTTTTTCTTAATAGCTGTATTTTAAAATTACCAAAGTGTAGCTATAGCGTTTCCTTTTTATGGTCACATTTCCAGTGACTGAAATTATGATCATAAAGAGCTGGGGACATCTTTCTACGGTTGTTTGGCTAATCGTCCATTAGTGTTACTCTCTTCCAGTTTGTGTTACTGAAATTTTCGTTGAAGTATGTAGTTGTAAAGTTTTCAGACAAGCCAGTTTTTCATTTCGAATTTCATTCTCGCGCAACTTCTTCACAGAAAAAGGAAGAAGCATCCGACTTCGTTGCGGATGGTCACGCACTGAAGCGTTTCACATAGCTTATTTCCTAAAGTATATTACGTTAATAAAGTTAATCAACCTGTTTTGGAGGTATATTGCTTTAATAAAGTTAATAAACGAGGACATTTATATCATTCCTCTGCGCCGTCCGCGGTCCCGGTCTCTTGGGCAACATTTGGCTCTCCGTCCTCCTCCTCGTGTCTGTGCACCTCGGTTTCAGTTTTTTCTTTCGGTTTTTCTTCCTCTGCAACAGTGTTCGTTAATAATTGAGTCGTGGGACGAGCACAAAATAAATTTCATCCTGTGAATTTTGCGCGGGGGAATTTTGACGAGAAAAATCGTTTTCTTTCGCGAATATTTTTTGAAAGTGCAGAATGTTGGTATATGTATGTAAAATTCTGCTGTGCACTTCGTAACAGTAACATAATCGTAAGATTTGCAAAGATTTATGTTGTGAATTTCGTAATAGTAACGTTCATTTCCTCTCAGAATCGTGTCTAATAAGTATTAAATTAGTTTATTTTAAGTTTTGCCACACCTTTGCAACCTTAAGTACAATGTTGTACTTGTATGAAATGCTAACATACATCCATCAATTGAGGGATTCAATGAAAAAGGAACACATACCACAATACTATTAGTTTACACGACTACTTTTAGGAAAACTAATTTTCTCGGGAAATTCGGTATTAACTGGTAGTTATTTTAATTGATAATTGAAGTAGATGGGAAATAGAAATAATTCTCAATTTCTGATTCGAAAGTTCATATTATGGAACACGTCTTTTCACAATCTTAGAAAAAGGGTACGGCTATTCTGGCAAATATTTTTGTAGAGAGATATATGATTGTGCCTTTTTTATTCAGTCCGAGTTTGAATGTGAAGGAGGAACATTTTTATTTACGTATTTGCATTTACGTTGTCTCCATCTTGAAAATAAAGAAACATAATTTTTTGATTATTTTCAACATGATGAGAACATCTAGTGTGATCATCAGAAGTAAAAAGCGTTCTTGTAATGAGAATAAGTGGAAGGATAACGAAATAAAAATATCAAGACATAGTGAAAAATGTTATGTATGGTGAAAAAAAATTTTGTCCGAATAGTATTACCATTTTTCTAAGAATATTAAAAAACGTGTCATATACCTAATATGAATTTTCAAGTCAAAATTTGACAGTAATTGCCATTGATCACCTACTTCAATTGCCAATTAAAATAACTGCTAGTTCATAACGAATTTCCTGAGAAAATTTGTTTTCCTAAAAGTAGTTGTGTAAACTTATAGTATTGTGGTATGTGCACCTATTCCACTGAGTCTTAAAATTGTCGAAATATCAAAACTAAAAGGGATTTTTTTCAGTGATAAACAATGGACAGAATTCCAAAAGAATATAGTAATTCCATTTTCCAAAGCAATAAAGTAGGAAGATCAAAAAATTTTCTTTTCCCGGTCTTTTACCTTCAGCTTGCTCTTCGACTTCTAATTCCGTCGGGTATTCGACTTCAGGCTTCGATTGTGGTTCAACCCCTGTAGGCAATTGCTCCTCCGTTGTAATTTCGTCTTCCGATGTTCGCTGCTCATTCATTTCCGTTTCCGTCAACTGTTCTTCCGTGTATTCTGCGTCGATTTTCGCTTCCGATCCTGCTGGACGGTATTCAGAATCGGGACTAAGTTCTGTAGTTACAATTTCCTCTGCTTCTGTGGTGTAGTCACACTCGATATTTCAGTTCTAGTTTCGTTACAATGATCTAGTGGTTCGTAATGAATTCAAAAGTAATCTGTTACCATCGTATTCTTCATCGTATTCCACTTCCTCCTCTTCTTCTGCACTTTCCAGATCATCTGATTAAAATATGTGGCTCAATTTATAAATTAGATTTTTTCAGTGTTTCATTTGTTAAATCTATTAGTTGTGTATGTTAATTATTATATTCGTATATTGATTGTTTTTAACGTAATTGAAATTAAATGCGAATGAAGTGTATTCATCTTGTATCTAATTCGAATACTTTGTAATTTGTGCAAATATCGAGTTGGTAAGACATTAAGGTCGTCTTTGGATAGTATTAACCAGAATGGTTCCAAATAACCGATTTCCAATCATTTATGATGTATCAATCGTAATGATGAAAATATTGTACAATAACACGACAAAGTTTACTTTGGACCCATAACGTAGCCTGACATCACAAAACGTACTTGTCCGTAGACTACCTCTGACATATTTGCAATGTATATGTATAGTGACTGAACGTATAGTGAAGCGAGGGATTACAAAATAAACAGAAAAATATCAGTAAATGTAGAGGAGCTAACTCATCTTTCCCAAGTAACAGGTTAATTATGACATTAAAGTATTACAGAAATTAATTATAATATTATAGACGCAATTTTTCTTGCTAAGACCGCATTGAAAATCATTGTTTGCCTTTTTGGTATAAAAATAGGATTTTCAGTACGCTTGATGGAGCTCGGTATTGCAATTTTAATGGAAATCTCTCGATTTCATTCAAGTATTCACCTTCTTTCGATATACGCGTCATCTGCAAGCGTTCTTTGAAAGTCATCTGAACTTTCGAGCTGGTGATCGTTAACTCCTCTCGAGTACCATATTCCGTGGGGATATTTTCACGGGATATCACGTTTTGAAAAATTCTGTAACGCAGACTATCGAGAACAGCATTAACAACCATCGTCTTCGTCGATTCTAATCGATGCACGTCGTAGCTGGCTCTCTTCGCACAATACTTCTTGAAGGCTTTCTGGATATAATAGAAAGATATTCGGTTGTTCCCAAATGTTCGTGCAATTTTGTCAGATTTTTATAAATATAAAGACAAACGTTCTCTTAATACAATTTTATACATTTATGGTGCATACAACTATGCATGTAAAACGCAGTGAAGTAGAAATGTTAAGAAGAATCGATACAGTTTGTTTTATATAGGGTGTTTCCGAAATGGTCTTACAAAGGATGTGATTCTACCACAGACTTCTATATTATATACTAGACTGCCAATTCCTCAAATTTCGATTATATAAAATGCCCTCAAAAAGCATGTACTAAAGTATCTCATTCTGCACATCCACAGAAGAAATGTGATATAGTTAATACATTCTTCATAATACAGTTAAACAACTTATACAGTTCTATTAATCTAGGATTATATTATTTTAAAGTTTTATCATCGTTTTATTTTCTTAAAAATAATAAAATGTTTTGTAAAAAAAAGATTTATAAGAAAAAGATAAAATAAAAGACAGATTTGTTTATAATTATAGGTTAAAATAACAGTATTATGAAGAACGCATTAACTATATCTATCACATTGTTCCTGCGCATGTGCAGAATATACTTTGTATATGATTTTTGTAGACATTTTACATACGGAAGTTCGCTGTCTAGTATAAAATAAAAGTCTGCAGATTCTACATGGAAAAATAAGTTGAAAATGTAGAATAACATATTTTCGTACGACGCTTCGATTCCAAGATACTCTATTTTTAAAATTCATCTAACGCGTATGCATTCGTATTTCGCAGTGACTATAAGTAGAAACAGAATGCAATGATCAGACGCGCTAGTCAAACCCTATTCTACTGCACGTGTATCCAGCAGATTTTCAAATTCGATTATCTCGAAAACAAAGCATCGTACGAACAAATTTTATTCTACACTTTCGACTTATTTGTGCATGTAGAATCACATTCTTTCGCGTTGGATTACCAGTTAGTAAATTATATAGAGTGCCTCCGAAACTTATGTTCAAGTTTGTATGAGGTGATTCCTCTTAAAAAGATGCGAAAAAATATAGAATAAAATTCTTTCATTTAAGGCTTCATTTTCGAGAAAATTGAATTTGAAGATCTGCAGGATATACGGGCAACTGAATAGGACTTTGCTAGCGCGTCTGTTCATTGCATTCCATTTCTACTTACTACCTCGGCGAATACACGCGTCCCAGATTAATAGTCAATTTTCTCGAAAACGACGTGTCGAATGAAACGATGTTGTTCTATATTTTCGACTTATTTTTCTACGTAGAATAGTCTCACGTCTGCTTGCACATATCTTTCGGAGGCACCCTGTAAAAATAAACTAGGTCGTTTAAGAGCTTACACATAGTCAGCAAGCTAAAGAAAGCGACCTTTGGGAATTTTCTTTGATAAAACAAATTGACTTTTTTTATAACTAATACTTTATTGAACAATGCATATACTGTGCAACTTATTGTAGTTTTTTTGTACCAAAATATTTAAAAATGAATGAGTAACAGCCACTCTCACGGAAGCTGTTTCTTTAAAGGCGCTTTGCGGTGAACACGATTTCTTGATTCACGATTACAAA